GGAAAAATAAATAGTTATGTATGCAAAATAAATATATTGAAATATACCACAAGTTTGTGATTGTTTCCAAGTGTAACTTGCATAAGGAAAGTCCGATCGATGCTGCTGGCTGCAACAGAAACAACCCACGGAGCAGTATTGATAACAGTTTGTGAGTAAGGGCCAGAATTCCCCGCGGAACAAACTACAGTAATCCCTCTAGCCACCGCATGAAAGGATCCAATAGCCAAAGCATCATCAACGTAAGCAGCAAGTGGTGGTGGTGATCCCAATGAAACCGAAAGAACATCTACTCCATCATGAATTGCATCATTAAAAGCAGCGAGGATGTCGGCAGAACTACCAACAAACTTTATAGATTGCTAATCTAGCACCAGAAGCGCCTCCTCTAGCGGTGCCCTGGCCGAGCCCCATGAAGCTTGCATTGCCTACAAAAGCACCGGCAGCGGTGGATGATGTGTGAGTTCCATGCCCGGCTGCATCACGAGCAGATAGAAACTCGGTGACATCACTTGTGTTCAACTTTCCAAATTCGGCTTCGTATCCTTTGACAAACCAGCGTGCACCGATTATTTTTCTGTAGAATGAGCCCTACCAAGAAACTGTTAGTCATCTCGGAATCATTAGCAAAAAGGGAAAATGAATCAACAAAGAACTTAAGAAGACGAGCATTATTCAAAATGCACAATGGTGATTGTGGCCAAAAATGATGTGAAAGATTCCCGGTACAATAAGACAGCAAAAGCTTTCTAAGTCTAGCATGTGTTTTGTGTCAGATTCCCAAGTGTTAGTGCGCCTGCACATCGATCTTGGATATCCAAGATCTTTATGTATTACAAAGATCTGTTCAATGGCGGAAATAGGTCAATGATGTCCAAATTCCACCCCCACCCCATCCCCCTGCCCCGGTCCACGGAGGTCTTGTTGCGCGCAGCGGAAATTTCGGTAGCACTTCGGCAGCACAACAAGAGAGTCAGGTCGCAATAAGAATTCTTGTTTCTCAAAGGAAACAAGAATCTAAAGCCTATATCCTATCAAAGTAGGATATTAGCTCTTCCTCTCGTCAGCTCTAAGACTGCGCGTCGAGGGACCCTAAAAGCTATTACAAATCACACAAAAGCAGTACAACCAATTTTTACGTGGTTCGGCAAATTGCCTACGTCCACGGGGCAAGGAGGGGGGAGATCTACTATTAGAGGGAGAGAATACAAATAGGGTTTATACAAGAATCTCACAAATAAAACCCTCACACAAAACTCTCAAACCTCTCACACAAACTCTCTCTACAAAAGATGCTCAGAACTCTCTTGACGGCTGCTGAAAACACCTCATGCTTCTGCGGTTTTTTTTTTTTTTTTCAGCCGCTTCTTTGAGTTTGAAAACGTTTAAAAACGGCCAAAAACTGTCAGATATTCAAATTCTGAAAACTGAAAAACTGTCTCTTGTAGTCGACTACTGTAGTCATTAGTCGACTACACTGAGTTCAGACAGACTCTGTGTTTTCGGAAAATGTTCTCAGTAGTCGACTATAATGATAATTAGTCGACTACACTGAGTTCAGACAGAAACTTGAAAATTTATATTTTTCTTCAGTAGTCGACTACTGTAGTCATTAGTCGACTACACTGTAAAAAGACAGAAACTTATGTTTCTGTCAAACATCTCAGTAGTCGACTATAATCTCTATTAGTCGACTATACTGTAAAAAGACAGAAACTTGTATTTGAGTTATATACATGAGTAATCGACTACTATCCTAATTAGTCGACTATTAAGATCAAAAATTCAGAAATAATGAGTTTTTATAATTAAGTTTTAACTATTATTCTAATGGTTAACATAGGGGATTTCTATAGTTAACCAACACACTAAGCCTGTGTTAGTGTATTCTAAAAATGTGTGTGTGTGCGTGTGTGTGATCAAGGCTTGTACAAATATTCTAAGCAAAGAAAAATTCAAATACATTATCTTTTGTTCTTCATTTTCTTCACTTCAAAATGCCTTGATATTCACTTGCACTTGTACATATTCTGATATTGAAATCTGCATATGAAAGTTAGTGCACACAAAATATAAATTGTTATCATCAAAACATTATCATGGAGAAATGATATTCAACAATACTTACCGCCTGTGACAAATCTGGCCTCGTACATACCATCGCGTACATCAAGCTCCCAACCGCGCTCGCATATGGAGTCTTCGACATCAACTCACGATCTTCAACTGACTTCGGTGAGAGACCAGCTGAAAGCTTCAAATGGGCTCCCAATGGTACACTAACTGGCTTCGTATCCATGCTAACATGGAATCGCTGTAGAACTTTCTTCAAATAAGCCACCTGTGTCAAACAAATTCTGCCATTTTTCTTGTCTCTGCCGATCTCCATCCCTAAAATGCGCTTCGCCTCGCCCAATTCCTTCATCTCAAACTCATTTGAAAGCTGAACTTTCAACTCATCTATAGCCGACCTGGAAATAGAGGCAACCAACATGTCATCGACATAGAGCAACAAATAAATATACGCACCTCCTTTCAACTTGCGAAAATATACGCAAGGATCAAACTGGCTCCGAGTGTACGAATGACCAAGCATAAAACCATCGAATCGCCTATACCACTGTCGAGGAGACTGCTTCAAACCGTATAGCGATTTCTTCAGTTTGCAAACTAATTTTTCTTTCCCTGCAGCTCGGAATCCCAATGGCTGAGTCATATATATTTCTTCATCAAGATCACCATGAAGAAATGCCGTTTTCACATCCAACTGATCTAATTCCAAACCATACTGTGCCACCAAAGCTAGCAAAATCCGAATCGAAGAATGCTTCACCACCGGAGAGAAAACCTCATTATAGTCAATACCTTCCTCCTGTGCATAGCCCTTCGCAACCAACCTAGCCTTGAATCTCAACGGAGTGCCTTCAATGCCCTCCTTCTTCGTGTATACCCACTTGCAACCAATTGCTTTCCGCCCCTTTGGAAGCTCAACAAGCTCCCATGTATCGTTCTTATGAAGAGATTCCATCTCCTCCTGCATAGCCACCTGCCACGAATCAGCCTCCGAACTCTGCTCGGCCTCTCTGAATGTAGTAGGCACTAACTCATCGATACTCTCCACCGGAAGTGCATACGCAACTGTGTCGGCATACCGTGCTGGCATCTGTATGTTTCTCCTCTGTCTCCTAGCCGCAATAGAATCCTGAACCTGAGCCGTCGGTTCCTGATCCTGCACATTTGTACTCGTATCCTCCGTGTCATCGTCGTGCTCGCCTGGCGTCACCTCAGTCGGCACCTGCATGGATACTGTACCATCTGGACAATGTGGAGCTGCATCGATCTCCACCACCTGCGATATCTCCTCCGTCGGGTCGCTCTCCACCTGATGAGAGCTGGGAAGCTTCAAGATAGAAGCCTCATCAAATGTGACGTCCCTACTCAGAACAATCTTTTTATCAACTGGATCCCAAAGCTTGTATCCCTTGACACCACGCTTGAATCCTACAAATATGGCCTTCCTAGCTCGAGGTTCCAATTTATCAGTTCTAACATGATAATATGCAGGGCACCCGAATACCTTGAGCTGGTCATAGTCATGTGCTGGCTTTCCCGACCACATCTCCATAGGGGTTTTCCCCTCAATCGCAGATGAAGGCAGCCTATTAATGAGGTGGCTCGCATATGTAAGTGCCTCAGCCCAAAAGATCTTCTCCAAACCACTCTGCGACAATAAGCATCGGATCTTCTCCAGTAAAGACCGATTCAACCTCTCTGCCACCCCATTTTGCTGCGGTGTATGACTAACTGTGAAGTGTCTCTCTATGCCCTCGTCTCGACATAGCTGCTGAAAGGGGTCAGAAGTATACTCACCACCGTTGTCGGATCGCAACGTCTTGATCTTTCTCCCAGTCTGCAGTTCCAATCTCTTCTTCCACTCCACAAACAAATCTAGGACTTCACTCTTCTTCGTCATGGTGTACACCCAACAACGCCTAGAATAGTCATCTACAAAAGTGACGAACCAATGTCGACCACCAAGTGATGCAGTCTTGGTGGGACCCCAAACGTCTGTGTGCACGTAATCCAGGATGCCCCTCGTCTGATGAATGGCAGTCCCGAACTTCACCTTCGTCTTCTTGCCAAGAACACAGTGCTCACAGAACTCAATCTTCCCACTCTTGGCTCCCTTCAATAGCCCCTGCTTGCACAATGTCTGCAGTGACTTTTCACCTGTGTGCCCCAATCTATAGTGCCAAAGTCTGCTCATGTCCGCTTCTGAAATAGCCGAAGCAACCTGGCCAATCTCGGTGCTTCCCTTCAGATAATACAAATTCCGATTGCGGACTCCCCTCATCACCACCAATGATCCCTTAGTAACCTTCGCTACAGCGTTTTCGAAAGTCACCTTGAATCCCTTCGCCTCCAAAGCTCCAACTGAGATAAGATTTTTCTTCAGTTGAGGAACAAATCTCACCTCCTTCAACTCACGGACTACTCCATCGTGCATCCTAATCCGCACGGTACCTATCCCACAAACGCCACAGGATTGATCATTTCCCATGACAACAACGCCCCCGTCGACTTTCTCAAAAGATGCAAACCAGTCTCGCCTAGGGGTCACATGAAAGGTAGCGCCGGAATCAAGCATCCAATCTGATGCATCCACATGGTTCACCTCCGGAGTAATCAGTAGAGAAAAGCACGAATCATCGGAATCATCGCCTTTCGCAATGTTCACCTCATTGGCCTTCGGGCCCTTTTTCTTGCCATTCTCTTTCTCCTTGAGCTTCGGGCAGTCTCTCTTCCAATGTCCCTGCTCCTTGCAGAATGCACATTGGTTCTTTGTTAGTTGGTGACGGCCTCTAGACTTTGACCTCCCTCTGTTACCACCTTTCGGATATGGGCTTCTACCTCTCGTCGACAAGGCCTCGCCTGAAGTGCTAGCACGGGAAGTCTCCTTATCCTTCCTCCTCAAATCGTAGTTCGTCAAAGCGTTAGTCACTTCACTATAGCTGATAGAAGATCTCCCGTTTAACAAAGTGAGCACGAAGGTATCATACTCCTCATCCGGTAAGGAGCCCAACAAAATAATCGCCTTGTACTCATCCGATATCTTCTCATCAACATTCGTCAAGTCCGACAACAACTTCGTATAGTTGTTCACATGAGCCGCAAGCGAGGTGCCTCTGGACATCTGGAATCTGAATAACCTACGCAGCAAGTGCAATCGGTTCTCAACACTCTTCGTAAGGTACTTATTGTTGAGAATTTCCCACATCTTCATCGCAGACGTCACCCCAATCACATCATACTTCAGCTCCTGTTCCAAACAGGACCTGATCACCCCACAAGCGTTCCTATTCATTTTCTCTCATACCGCATCTTCATATTTAGGTGGCCTCTCATGGACCATGATGGTCTCTTCCAAATTCTGAGCATTGAGCGCATCCTGTACTTCGCTCATCCACAAACCAAAGTTGATTTTTCCGTCATATTTCACCACACTAATTTTGGTGTTTTGAAAACCAACTTGTATTGTACCCGCCATCGATTTGCTGCTTTCACCTTCTTCTCCCATTGCGAACTAACTCCAAATTGTAGAGAAAAAACAAATTTGATAGAATTAGGAACCACCCAACTGAACCCTAGATCGGATTCCAAATAGATCTCCTATCCACATGAGGAAAGCGAAATCTCCAACGGCAACTCCTAATGCTATCTCCACCGAATCTGAGAACTCCAAGAACTAAGCTTCACACAAGAGTCTTCCTCCACCAAAAAACCCTAGATCTGAAACCGGGCTCTGATACCACTTGTTGCGCGCAGCGGAAATTTCGACAGCACTTCGGCAGCACAACAAGAGAGTCAGGTCGCAATAAGAATTCTTGTTTCTCAAAGGAAACAAGAATCTGAAGCCTATATCCTATCAAAGTAGGATATTAGCTCTTCCTCTCGTCAGCTCTAGGACTGCGCGTCGAGGGACCCTAAAAGCTATTACAAATCACACAAAAGCAGTACAACCAATTTTTACGTGGTTCGGCAAATTGCCTACGTCCACGGGGCAAGGAGGGGGGAGATCTACTATTAGAGGGAGAGAATACAAATAGGGTTTACACAAGAATCTCACAAATAAAACCCTCACACAAAACTCTCAAACCTCTCACACAAACTCTCTCTATAAAAGATGCTCAGAACTCTCTTGACGGCTGCTGAAAACACCTCATGCTTCTGCGGTTTTTTTTTTTTTTTAGCCGCTTCTTTGCTTTTTCCCAGCCGCAAAAAGCACCAGCGATCAACCTCCTTGGCACCCGTTTCCCAAAACCCTAGAGACACATTATATAGGTGCACAAACTAACTCGGGTGGGCCTCACTTCCATATTTGCACAATCCTCACGCGGCTCATTCACGTGGTAGACCCCACCCGAATTCACAGGTCAAACACCAATGATCATCCAAACATAATGATTATACAAGATAACTATAGTTCTATAGTACGGGGGTCAATAATCCTTGACAAAGCAATTTTCACTCAAAAGAGTGAAATCGACACAATAACACTTACTTGGAATCTGAAAGATTACCAAAACAGTAACGTCATGTTTGGTACACGGGAATGAGTGGGAATGGAATACAATTCTAACTTTTTATTCATGTGTATCAAACACGATGTATTTTTAGATGCTAGAATTGCTATTCCCACTTCTTATCAATTCCCACTTTATGTGGGAATTGTTATTACCAACCATTTGACAAGAAATTGATATTCCTACTTAAGTGGGAATAAAAATAAACAAATAAATTCCGATTGAAAAATTATTTCTATAGAAATAATATCATTAGCTGCTCGTACAAATATATAAATAGATGTAAAATATTAAAATATTATTCTTTGTTCGACTTTGCTCTAATTCCATCGCGTCTGCAGTAGAAAAAATATCATCTTCGTCTCGATGCGACTCGGTTAGGTAACCATTATTTTTTTAAGACATGTATGTGTGACTAATCTTTATAGCAATCTTTTATCTTTTGGCGACTCGGTTGCGTAATCTATTAGCAATTAGGTTAGTAAATATTTGATCTTTGGATGTATAATTTGAAGTTCCATTGAAGCATATGTGTCTAATCTTTTCAGTAATTTTTTCAAAGCACTCACAACAAGAAATAATGTGCTTAATTGATGAGATTGGAACTTTATATTTTGATTAGAGATTAACATGTTTTATATTCCTTCAAACTTTCTAGGTTAGCATGTTTTCTACTCCTAACAATTGTTTGAAAGTTAAATGTGCATTTGAAATTTCATAGAAATTTTATATACAAACTAAAAGTTAACATGTTTTTCTAATCCTTCAAAATTTAGTGTTTTCTACCGATCTCTCTCTTCATGCATGCACATGAAATTCAGTCATAAATCATGAAGCATGCATATGGAATTCAACCTATTGTATACATTTGTGCATAGTGATGCTAGTAGCATTAGTCGTTCGTACATGTAGTAAATATGTAGCATTAGAAGTTAGAAATATAAAATTATAATTATTTATAATCAAAAATAGTTTCTATAAAAATTATTTTTAAATTAGTAAGCCAAAAGTCCAAATTGTTGCTGAGGCGGTGTACCAAAATATAACTATCAACTGGAAAAAAAATTATAAGAAAAAAATATCATTAATTTCTATAAAACTTATTTTTTTAAAATGAATTATTTAGTCATTTTTAAAATATTTTAATGTTTTTAAAATTTTGTGTTTTTATAATAGCATTATTAGAAAACTAAATTTTATTCTCACTTGTGAACAAATGATACCAAACATGGAAATGAGAATGAGAATGCATATTCCATTCCCACGTCTATTCCATCCTCACTTCACTTCACGCATACCAAAGGATCGAGGCGTAAACTCAAAGAACTAGTGATGCCAGTTACATTGATTAGGATAAGCAAAGCGGGACGTAAAGAGGCAAAAATGACGGACCTATTACATGTAGAAATGGGAAACTTCTCTCCTTCTTGGCATATACCTTTCCACCCCTTCGGAACTTCACCCATTCCATGATCATCATTAAAACTTGCAGACTCCGGCCATATCCCTTCAACAACGTAAAGTTCGATGAGCTCTTTACGTCTACGTACGTACGTATCAAATTGACTATCGATCACAATAATTAGTTGCATCGAGATAAATTAAATTCAACGTACCGGTATCTAAGACGCCGATAATTGACCCAACGCCCCACCTACTCTTCGAAAGGAGCCCATTCGGAAGCCTGGGGTTAAGTCGCATGAAATCCCAACTCCGAGTCGTGTGCAACCTAAAAATCCTGTTGGGAATAACCCGAACAACTCCAGGAAAATCTGAATTACCACCAGTACTTACATATCAGAACACAATTAATTAAGTTTTAATTCTCTGCGACAATTAACCATGCATGGTTTAAGATATCACATATTAAATGCATGATCAAAAACTATGCGTGCTACCGGCAACACGGTTGGCCTGGGATTCAGACAGAAGAGCAGCAAACCCCGAGAACCCGCAATTGTAGCTGTACAAGATCGAAGAAGCAGCTGCTTCTTCGCTGCGCAAACAGCAATTTCAATCACGATCGAAGGGGGGAAAAAAAAGGGTATATTAATTGTTAGTAAAGCCTAATAATTAATTAAACTGAGGACGACTCTGCTAAAAAAAAATTAAAAGGTTTTGGTGGTGTGGGAGGACAAATTAAACCTGCCGAGAGCGGCCGAAAGGATTCCGTGATGGAGGTCCTGAACATACCGCATTTCCATTCCCTCACGAGCTTTATTCTTCCCCATGTACACGATGTAGGCCTGCAAGGGATCGACGTCAACAGAATCAACAAGGAGCATTATTAATTTTGGAGGGGAAGGGTTTGTAAATTATTTTAAATTACTGAAAGTTAATCTAAACATGATAGAAATTCAAATACTCGATCTAAACATGTTTAGAAAACTGAAAAATATAATCTATATCAAAACGGAAACGTAATAGATTAAACTAACCTCCAGCCATCGTTATCTTACTCAAGGATATGGATGTTGATTTCGAAGATCTTCTAAACCTTATCTCTTCACTAAACGATGGTGTATTCTTTCTTTCAAAATTGAAGAGCAGGTCTGGGGACCCGAAATATGTATGCTCCTTTTATACTCTCTCCATCAAAGAGCAATAAATGGAATTAGTGGGCAAAGTGGTCGGTTAATTCATAACCAACTCTCAAGATGATGGGAAGTTATTGGACCACATTGTGGTAACCGAAACTAACAGGGTTAACTAATATATATATTAATTAATTATGCGAGTTAAATAAAAGAGCTCACGTTGCTAGCAGAAATGGGGATGAAGAGCAGGGACTGTTGAACCAATAAAACCCCAGCAAGGAGAAGGTTGATAAGATAAGCAGCAGGAGGAGGAGGAGCCATAGATCGAGCTACCGGGGGATAAGAGCTACGGGAGTGTTGGGCAGTGAGCAGCAGCAGCAGAAAATATATCGATCATAGGTTGGTTCCTTCAGTAGGGGCCCACTTGAATTTCCCTTTTTTTTATTTTTTATTTTTTTCAGCGGCCTGTCTCCTCATCAGCTGAATTCGGGAATCAGGGCTCGTGATATTTTGCTTTTGTTTTGTCTTCACTACGGCTGTTGGGATTTCTCTTTCATCGGGAAATACGGATTTTAAACAGTGAGAATATTGTCAGTAGGGCTGCCCGTTCCCATCTCCTTTCATCACTGTACATACATGTATATATCACCTTTCTCTACTTCACTGACTTGTCCGCGTCAAGGGAAGGAGGAGACTTTGACTTTTGACTCTCACTCTCACTCTCACTCAAAGTGGGTTAGGGTATCATGGCTCGTGAGGTTTGACCGCTTAAAATGGACAGGGACGTAATTAATTAACCTTGGATGCGTGTTTATGCCTGTGGCTTTTGAATTTGAGCTCAGAAAGGTTCGAGTCAGGTTATCGAGCTTTACTACAGGGACCCAAAATATGAGACCAATAGAGGGGACAAGTGAGGTGTCCCCCTCCTATTGGATAATGAGTTGGCCATCATTAATGATGGCCAACTCATTATCCAATAGGAGGGGGACACCTCACTTGTCCCCTCTATTGGTCCCATATTTTGGGTCCTTGGAGAATTTTTCCAGGTTATCGTACCAATGAAATGGGCTCAACACCCAGCAAATGAGTGGAGCCCCGGCCGGCGTGCGCGTATAACGAGAGCGCAGCGACTTCCAACGTGATAAGGTAAACGCTATCGACTTCCAATAGAAAGGGACCCCGGCTACTTTTAACCCACTTTCTGTGGCCTTAATCAATCATATTATATCTTATCTTTTGGTTTTGATCCCTGATGATAGAGCAGTCCACAATCGAAGAAGGATTAATCAAACATATCGACCAACTCTGTCACGTGCTTTGGATTCTTGAGCAATATGCAGTATGGGGAGCCCAAAAATACATCATTCCGACATTAGATTACTTCCCCAAGGGAGCAAGACAATAAAATAGAAAGTCACAGCTATAGCGGATGGATGAGTGAATTAGCCTTACACCATTAATTAATAATTGTTTGCAAAATTAAGAAGTACGAGTGACCCCTTCCCCATCACCAACTTGTTGCTGTCAACAAACATAAATGCATCACTTGCTACGTTCCAAACAGATAAACGCCTGCGCCTCCCACTTGATTTCCACTGTGGGGTCGTGCAGAACCAATAAACACGCCAACAGTGAAGAAGAAGAAGAACAAATGCTTACGAGTAATCAGTTACAAGCTCTCTCTGTTAAGCAATCTAAGAATTGTTAGAAACATCTACCAAATGTTACAAGCTCCAACAACTACTTTGCTTTCAAAAACAATGTATGGATTGTGGTTTTCCTTTTTTTTTTAAAAAAAATGGGTATCCCATTTGATCAATCAAGTAAAGAATAACTGTCTTTTACATCAGAATGCGAAGCACAGCAAGGCCGACGGCAGATATTGAAACAAGGGTACCAATGCAGTATTTTATGACGTCGTATTTTGCCGCCTCCAGTTGGGCCCTCAAGGCATGAATTTCCTGTAATATAGTCAAGATTTGTTATACTACAAACTGATATCAATGTCCTTTTCAAAATTTTCTCCTTTTTGTTTAGCTCCTCACCCTGTCAAGCTTGTTAGTCAGATCAGTAGTTTCGGCATTCTGCTTCGCTAGCTCATCTCTAATGCGCCTGAAATTTATCCACAACATAATTAAAATTCCTAAATAGAGCTAAAATGATAGACGTAGCTTCCAATAGGACATAAACATCAATTTCAGCCCCGAACCAATAATTACGCCTGAAACAAAACTATGATCACTCACAGTTCAATTAAGCAAGTTACAAGAACATTTTACAGCTGGGATCAAATAAAAATAGGACAGTAAAGCTAATTAAGCGCCACATACATTAGTTTAAAACAAAAGGGGAAAAAACCATTATTGCCAATTAACTGCCTGAAGTGCAAAATCCCTGTTCAATCATCTATTCACAGCCTAACACACAAAATAGTTTCGAGTAATGCACCTTTAGTAAAACCCAGACTAAGCAAGATATCACAAATCATTTCTAATGCTAGGAAGGAACTTAAGTTATGAAGTAAAACCAAGAGAGCTTAAGGTAGCATCATCCCTTACCCTCTTTCAAGGTTCAGATCCAAGCGTTGCCCTGCAGTGACTTTGTCAATCTCATACCTATCACAGGGAAAAAGTTTTTCACATTATCAGTAGTGCCTTTCAGAACATGGAGTATATAAAGAAATGATATAAAATTAATCATGATAAACCAGCATCTGAAAAGCAACACAGACCTTAACTCACTACGCATCTTCTCAATGTCACCCCTGAGCTTTTCAGTCTCACGTTGCAACAAAGAGAAATGGTGCTCCTGCATCCAGATCACACAAACTTTTAAGAAATTAAGAACATCGATGTTGTCAAATTGATACCCTACCTCACTCAGTATATCAGCTTGTGATGTTGTTTGTCTCTAAGGATAGTAAACTTCAGAAAGAGCAGAGGAATACTTAATGCCACAACATGCACGTCTGTGTGGAAATATTTGACTTCAAATATATTAACAACACAAAATATCACCTATGTGCTACTAATACATCTATAAAGAAACACACAAGAGATGAATTTGGAAGAGCAATGAAGTACTTGAACCCTCATCCATGCAAGCACTTCAGTATATAATTCGCAGTTGATGATTGTCAGCCCAAAGGTACAAAGGAAAAGGCTTCAATTCGAAGACTTGAAACCATATGCTCAACAGAGATCCATTTCACCCAGTAAGCTCATGGGGAACTTAAATAAAATGAGATCACTTGTCCATAAATGAGCTAACTAGCAGAAAGAACTGTGTGAAACATATCACTAACAATGCAGCCTAATCATGAAACTGGAAAACTTAGAACCACGTTCCCAAGTTAATACTTAAGCATAAAGTTGGTTTCTGTTGCTAAATGGACAAAAGGTATTATGTGGTCAAACACAAACATCGTCTAAAAGCTTTGTTGATGTTGCTGCTGCATGCACAGACTCGCTTGACACCCCAAGAAAAGATTGAACTGACTTTTATTGACTTAACAGCAAGTAAAAAAAAGACCTTGGCAAGAAAGTTATCTTAAGGCCACAATAAATATTTGATAAATATAACTGATCAATACAAGTCTGAGAAAGAGGATGAAAAGCTAGAACTTTTTATTTGATTAATTGTTGGAAAAATAATAATACCAACAGCACAAAGAAAGAAGATTGAACCAGGATAAGAACCACAAACTGAAGAGATCATTGAGAAACATTTCAAATTTCCTGAATCGACATCAATTTGAGCTTGAAGACTATGCAAAAGTGTCAAGTAGTATATTCTTGGACCATCCATGTAGCCAGGAACAGTTAGAACCCAGAAGGTTAAGACTGATTGGTATTGGAATGGACTGTTAGTACCTAAGAGTAAGACATCCTAAGCAGTGAGCCCAGGACGCACAGGAAGAAAAACAGGTCAATTCTTTATAAGTGATACCTTTATTTGTTTACTAACACTATTGATGGACGACGAAATTCTCTATAGAAAACCTTGTTATCATCTCTCATCATCATGCCCCTTGATTGGAGAAACAGGAAATCTGTGACTATAATCCTCAATGCAAATATCAGATAACTGCCATGCCTATTTCTACCCAAAGGAGCCTCTGCTAGGAAGTTTAACTGTCATGCTTATTCTACCATGGAGCATCTCCAACAACAATGTGGATCATAATTGGTAAAAAATTAGCTAACTGGACAAACTGAAGTGTACTTGTTCAACATGTAATAGCATTAACAAGCTCATTACAGATCAATTATATATAATTTAATTGCATAAATAGTAGCTAATCATGTAACTATCATCTTTCACTTCCACACATATCTTATACACGGTCAAGGGAACCCCCAGATTCCAATGGAAAAGAAGTGAGATGTGAAGCTAAAGCAAATAAATACACAAAACAAGATATTAATGGAACTGCATCTCTCAAGGAACAATCTTTTGCAATAAAGAAATGGTATATCAAGTTTGCGCATCGATAGTCCAACTCATGGCCTAGTAGGCCTATAGATGTAGGCTAAAAGTAGATCCCCAGGCTCCTATCTACATTGCAAAGTTTTACAAAATTCACCTTAATTCTAGGAAGACAAGTGAACTTTAAATGACCCTGAAGCCTCTGTAATTGGGTGTCTAGAAATAGGGATACATCAACACTAGGTAGGCCATGCATCTACACAGTTGATTGTTCCAAATAGGAAAGGAAGCCCATGAGAACCGATTCCCGAATACCTTTTATGTTTAAGCACAAATCAAGGAAGCATAAAGGCGAAGTTGAAGCTTAAGTAGAGATAACCCATACGATAAGGAAATCAAATAGTTTTATTTATTTTTCAGAATCTCACAAAATCTCAACTACAGAATAGAGGCAAGAACTACTTAACGAACAAAAATTAACCCAAATTCCTACCAGCAATAGTCTAGTACCTTCTTGGGAGCTATAGACTTTTACTTTACCAACCCGGGTATAAAAATAAACTATGGCTCCTATTACCAAGAAGAAAACATTCATAACAGCTTTTGATATAGTAAAACTGCAATCGAAACATCTCAGGACATATTCAGGCAAACCTGCAATGGAAAATCTCTGGGCATAGTCAGGCTTAAGGTAGTCTTCTGTAGAAACAGCCTAGCCGACAATAAAGAACCATCATTTCAAGTTTTCAACCCATATCTTCCTTCACTAAGCTGCTTTGTATCTGAAGTAATAGTATTTATTATCTGGTAGGTAATAATGTAATAATCAATATTTCACTAACAGCCTTCCCCAAATTTGTTATTTCAACTCACTCTTCCAAACCGAAGTCATACTTTGTACATAAGTCATTCTCATCTTTCATAATCAGTGTAGTTTCCAGTAAGATATGATATAATTATAGAGTAGACTGTTTGTTCTTATATTTTCAATTATCATATTTGTTTTCAATATATCCTCAATTCAGTTTAAGACTACGCTGACATATAACAGTATAAATTCATCATTAAAGCTGCATATTACCAATCTTTAAAGGTTTGTGGAGGCCAACAACACTTGTGACTATGATCAACATTCAGTTGAAAGCATGACTAAGGTCAAAAACAACGGCTTGTTCTACAACCAAGAATAGTCACAACACCTTCAAATTGATAAAATTCATACACTATATAACTTGAACGGCAAACTGGTCAAGTACCTACCTTGTTTATCTTACCATACCATAAAGGATGGTTGGATTGCACTTGCCTGTAACAAAAATGTTGTAAGCGTTTCTCAATGGAAAAAACAGATGTTATCCGACTAGACAACCTTTTGAGTTCAAGTGGCCTATGACTCAGAACCGCAACCTTTTGAGTTCAATTGGCCCATGACCCAAAACCACAAACTGACTGCACCACATCTTCAACTACATAACCGCAAAGTCCTTGTCTACAAAGTCAGCAACCATGATAAAGGATAACCATAGGATATCAGATATACAAATATTCCATTCGTCAGCTTAGCAATGTGCTTTGGAAATTTCAATAGCAAAAGCAGTTAAGAATTAACTGTTGGCATTAAAAATGATCATATGTGCCCCACAAGGGAATTGGGGAAGGTAAGTCACTGTAATAAAGGCTTGTTCTTTCCCTTTTGAACAAAATAGTGACTTATTCAACCTTTTGGTTAGGTTCTAAAGTGATATCTGCTCGAGCTGCTAGATTTGAACAAAATAGTGACTTATTCAACCTTTTGGTTAGGTTCTAAAGTGATATCTGCTCGAGCTGCTAGATTGCAGGAAAGAAGAAGAAAGAGAGCTACTTTGGTTAGGTTCTAAAGTGATATCTGCTCGAGCTGCTAGATTGCAGGAAAGAAGAAGAAAGAGAGCTACTGCAAGGAGTCAAATTGCTGAAGTTGCTGAAGCCGAGGACAGGACTTCTGTGGTCAATGTGATTCAATTGGAATGAAGATTTTACATAGAGTTTTATGTGCCTTGTGTTTGATTGGAGGGAAAACATTTTTAGTCTTAAAAGTTTTTTTACTATTTTGGGGTATATGTACTATAAGCTGATAACCTTTTTACTATTTTTAGGAGTTTGTATCCGGTGGTAGATACAGGGGTGCTGTTGCAACTGTTTTGTAGTCTTTTGTTCTGAACTTTAGTGCATACTCTTGGTTGGGAGGTGTACTATATTTGTAACAAGCAGTTTATTTTAATTTAGCTGGCTGGGATATCTTTGTGATATTCCATCCTTTTTCTCAAAAAAAAAAAAAAGGTTTGTTCTATTTACAAGATCACACACAATATCAAGGTATTACAACAAGCATGAAATAATGGGAGAAACGCATTGGAAATGTACTAAAACTCTCAATATTGTAAGAGAAGCAAGTCGTACCTGCGAGCTCTGCACTTCAGACTTGAACTTGGAGAGGTTAGCATCTTGGATCATCTCGCTCTAAGAGCATTCATATAAGAAAGAAACCGTCATTGACCACCACAACAACCAAAAGAGGAGGAAGGAAACAATGGGTCGGTAAAAATCAATCAAACAGCTCTCTGTGCATACCTTTTGCATTTCCCCCTTGGAGACGAACGACTGCGCCACATTCTCCAAGCTATCATTCAAAACTTCGGTGATGGCCGAGGTGATGGCCTCCGCCTGCTTTGAAGGAACTCCCTGAGCCTCCAACCTCCTCACCTAATTTTTTTTTTTAAATAATAATAATAATAATAAGCTAATTTCCATCTCCGCATCAGCAGAGAAAGAAGAAGGGGAAACATTTTATTTGCAAAGGGGAAAATGACGCCGCTTACAAGGGCGAGGGTGTCGACAAGAAAAGCCCTAGTGCCATTGGATTTGACGAGCTGAGAGATGTGGAGGACCTGACCTCTTCGGTTGTTGTAGAGAAACGAGCCGCCGGAGCCGACGCCGCCGCCTGAAGAAGAAGAAGAGGCGGAGGGAGGG